TAGGGGTTTAGGGTTTAGGGAAATTCGTTTAGGGGTTTAGGTTCTCATTATTACAACGCCCACGCCCCCCCCCGCCCCCCCCGCGCACTTGTCCTCTTCTGCTCCTGCTGCTGCATTTACGTCGCATACGACCACTGTTGTCACAACGATGGATTCCTTGCCATAGCCGATAGCCCTTCGCTCAAGCGGGCCATAGATTGTTCCTGCTTTCGCGTCTGATTGATGGGACATGCTTGGACTCATGGCCAGGACAGTTGGGTGGAGCGTCTCTTCGTGGAGTCCGATGGACCTGCCTGTTGGGGGCTTGGACGTTGCTGCAGTGGTCAGAGCTTGAGCCGTTCCTCCCTTCTGCGCATGCCTTTAGATAAGAGACCTCAGCACTTGAACCGAAACCTGGCATGTACAGCGAGGACCAGAACTTAGGCACGCACTACTTTCAGCTACTGATGGCAAAGATGCCAGGGCAAAATGCACGGGGTTTACGGGGCGGAGCCATGGTCGAGGGAAGTGTAGGCCTTAGGATCGCGGAACATCAACCTAAACTCCGAAGAGGTCGTGCAGAGACAACCGCAGGCGACTACTTATGGCCAGCAGAGTTTGCTGCCCTCGGCTTTCGCTTCGAGCAAGCGCTGGGCGGTAGGGCTCTTGGTATCCCCTCAAGCATCGAGGGTTGCGTTCTCATTGTCCGGGTTTTCTGCTTGTAGAGGACACTTCTTCCCAAATTTCATGGTGCTGGTACTGTGGGCACTACAGGTTAGGGGTTTTCCGTACGTAGCAGGTTGCAAAAGCAGGGTGAATGCAACAAACAAGTACTTCTGGACCGATGCTGACGGCTTGCAGCCATGTAATGAAGTCCGATATTTCAAGAACGTCCTTGCCCACTTCGCCGCAAGTAGGCAAATCGAGAAGAGGATGGCATTGGCAACTGCGTTTGCTTTCGGCTTTGTGAAAACTTCGGCCGCAAACAATGAGGCTTTGCAGCCTTGATGCCTTCGTCGCTGCATGATCTACTTGTTCAGTTTCTGATGTCACCATGTATCTTCCTATCCGTCTCTCGCTCTCGCTCCGCCTTCTTTCCGTGAAGATCATGTATCCCGTATCACTACTATGACTATGACTATGACTATGACAGTCCTGAGCACAGGACTTGTCACATCTGTGTGTGCGTGTGAGTTTGCTTTCGCTACTCGTTTGCAGCTGTGTGTTGTCGGAACTCGGAAGGAACCCTGTGTCAGGAGGCCCGCATCTGAGAGTCAGAGTTACGCTGGTAACGGCAATATTCATCAGGTGTGCGGTGTTTGGTGTGGCACTCTCCAAAGTGTCATAGTCGCGGTCGACCGTGCCGGTGCTACTGAGCAGATCTGAAGCAGACGTCTTGCAGAGTGAAGTGTGGCATTTTGCAATAGCGATGGAGTGGCATTCGAGGTGGAGCTCATTGTCAAAATGTCGGGTTAAGTCTGGCGCGACTGAAGATGATGAAAGCGGAACAGTCAGTCGCAAGCCCTTAAACAACTACGAACAAGCCTTCCCATTGTGCGCTGGCGCGACTGCAACTTAGTTGCTTCTCGAAGTGCGCTGTTTGGTTCCCAGATCCTTTCCCAGTTAGGCAAAGTTGAAACAAGCGACAATGGGGTTTCCGGAAATAGGGGACCCTAATATAGCACCCGAAGTTGTAGGATCCTTATTATAAGGACCCCAAAATAAGGTACCCCGAATTTTCGGAAACTCCCACAAAGTCCTTTGAAAGAGTGGAGACCCGAAGACTCGCGAAGGCTTTCAGGGTCGCTTCCGCTGGGACTTCGTCGTCGCGGACGAGAATCTCGAAGGAAGGATCGGCCTGCGCCAGTGGAGGACCGGTTCAGTAGTTTAGTAGCTGCGCCGGCCAGAAAAAGTATTGGTCCTCTTAATTAGATCAAGTAACTAGGTGCTCCATCAGCGGCGGTGTGTAGAAGAAGTGACAAGACCCACAGAGTTGGAGAGAAAGACGAGCATTCACTCACAGTCGCCGTCATGATCAGTTGGTACAAGTCATGCCGCCACCAGTGCTTTTGCTGCTCCTGGTTCAACATACACTTTCGACAGTGAGGAGCTATGCTGGCAAGCTCACAGCCGGGCACCCTGTGTTTTTGTCGACAGTGGTGAGCCTGGACTCTTGTCAGACCGGCATGAAAGCTTGTTTCCGGCTTGAGCTGCTTGTTTGGCTCCTCAGCTGTTTCATGCAGGTCGTCCGGATCCTTAAGCCGTGTCCTCTTCGGACAGCATGCGCTTCGCATGTCGCTACTGCGTCCAGGAAGCTTTCGGCGAGACGCGCTGTCGTGTGGCTGCAGAACGAGTTTTAGGCACCGGTGCCGGGGGATGTGGATAGGTTTCTGTTTGTGAGCTATGCGTGGCAGGAACCAGCAGAGCTCTCAGAAGTAATTGCTCCAGCATGCGAGTATCAAGATACCATACCTCGGAGGCTCTAATGCTACCAGCACCTGCGTGGACAGTGTACGGGTATTGCAGCTACTGTATTATAGCTGCGATTGTGATTATTGTGATGGGGTGATGATCACTGATCATGGTGATGCTGATGATTGTGATGATAATGATGATAATGATGAGGATGATGAGGGTGATGAGGATGGTGAGGAGGAGGAGGATATGATGCCACTGCCAAAGTGTCTGTACCGTAGTAAGGTTCGTAGCTGCCTTCTTGGTGGCGGTTGTGCTGATTGCAGCGGTGGCGGTGGTGGTGGTGGTGGTGGTGGTGGTGGTCGTCGTCGTATAGTTAGCGGCGGGCAGAAGCACTTCTCTCATGCACTTCGAATTTCCAATTGCATCCGATAGCCTTTGCTCCGAAATCCTTTGAAACTGCCAGGAAGCCGCAAGGCCGAGAACAGGAAGAAAGCTTGGCACTCAGGAGGCGGATTCTACGATTGCTGAACACAGCGATGAAACACGAATCCAAACTGTTGAAAGGCAACCTGACTGCCCAAAACTGGAAGTGGATGACTCCCATACTGCAGGAAGACTATGAACATACCATGCATGCTAGTGGTCGCTGGTCACTTTGCGAGATGCATTTCTCTCTAAATTCTTTGTATCGGGGCTCAGGATCTCAAAACCTCTTCCAGGGTTTGAAATCTCTCAGTGGGTGCCCGATTTCGTCATGGGCTGCTGTTGCTCCAAGTCGAAAAGGCCAGACGAAATCAAGAAGATCCCCGAATTGGCTTTGGAGGACACCGGCATTCCAAAAGTCGACGAGGGGTGGGCCAAGATCGGCAGAATGCATCACACTATTCAGTCCGACAGCAATGACCTTTACGAGATTGTGGAGACGCTCGTTGAGACATCTGGGACAAATGAGATTCCACAGGAAGACATCACAGCTTCTTTGAGGAGCCAGATGGCAACTTGGAAGTCCATCCTTGACCCAAAGCAGCTGCAAGCCATCCCAAACCTTCTTCTGGACATCCCATCCTTGCGGACTTTGGATCCCACCATTTCGGCAGTGCTTGACCTTAGGAAAAGGGTTCCCAAAGTTAGAGGACCCGTCCTTTGAAACCATGCAGAAGCCGATCGGGAAGTTGCTGGCCTTTGCGGAAAGGCAGGTGCAGAACCTCATTTGCATAGCCACAGCTGCCAGTACCTTGGCCCTGACGCTCGCGGATCCCGAGCTTGCCGCGGAGAAGGTCGCGACAGGCGCTGGAGAAGCCGCCACAGAAGGCATTGAAGTGCTGATGGCTGGCGGAGGGATGTCAGCCGCCAGGGCCATGTGGAACAACATGAAGGCCTTGCGTCAGTTCCAGCCTTCCCTTGAGACCTTGGTCAGCAACATTCGAGTGATTGTGCGGGCGATTATGGATGCCTTCAGCAGCAAGAGCACCACAGCACCGAAGAAGCTTGATGCCAAGAGATCCAAAAAGCTGCAGGAGGCTGTCAAGCACTTCAAGACGAAGAGTGAGCAGGTTGCAGTCGTGGCCAAAGCAGAGAAGATGACAGCCTACAAAATCTCTGCAGAGGAGCTTCAAATGCTTTCGGACATGATGGAGTGCACCCTCTCTGAGACAACAGTCGCAGGGGTGATGGCCAAGAATCCGGATGCAACAGGGGGGTTCTACTGCGATGCTTGCTGTTGTGACCTAGATCCAGAAGCGAGGGTTTTGGGCTGCAAGAAGTGCAAGGAAAGCGGAGGATGGTTTGGGGGAGGGAGCAATTGTGACCTCGGAATTTGCGTTCGATGCTCTAGCCTGATGCTGGCACATGCAAGCAAGGAAGTTCCACTCACCAAAAAAGAGATGAAGGCAGTCGGGGAGAAAGTTGGCTATAAGCTCCTGCATGCCTACTGCTTCTATGATACAGAACGCCTGTGCAACGAGTGCGAGCAGCCGTTCTCTGAGGGCGACTTCTTCCTGAGTTCCAAGGACCCCTCGGATGACTACGACATTTGCTGCCAATGTTCCTGCAAGAAGCTGGGAAAAGAATAGAAGCATTGATCACGCCCAGTGCGATTCCAATTCCTGTGAGATTGGGTCAACGATGCCCACTTCAATTGATTCCCTTGTGCTCGAAGCCCCGGAACTTGGGGACTTCGATGAGCTTACGATGTGCTGACAGGTTTTTCAGTCGTGGAACTGGCTTGCGCCAGGCTTCGAATCCGAATGACAGCAAGCTCGCTTCTCCACAGGAAGGGAAGCTGAGGACATGTGAGTCAGTTTTCGAAAGATGGAAAAATGCATATCATGGAAATCAGATCTGCGCATGTTATGTTCACTTAATAATTCTATTAGTATCGACATGCCGCATCGGCATCCTATCGTTCATGTTCGTTGAGACTGAGCAAGTTACCATAGACGGACTCACGGAGTTTGCTGCATTGGGCAACCATGTAAGCCATGTTTTCGTTCTAAGTTTCTGATTCCACTGACGAAACATGTCGGCATCACAATGTTCCACGGCCAACAAGTCATACCCTCCGTCTCAGTCTCGGTGGGTATGCCCTCACCTGAAGAATCATAGACGACATTTTGAAGAAACGGCGTTTTGAAAGTGTTGACCATTGCCGACCTCTCAGGTTGTTAGGCTGTCATGAAATTGAATTGGAACTTTGCTCCATCAGCGGCTTCACTGCTCCATTTTACTGTGGCTAGCCTTGACATTCCGGGGAGAGCCCGTGAGTATCTCAGGTCAAGAACATCAACATTTTTGACGGTTTCGATGCAGATGCATCTTTGCGCCTCTCGCCCGATGAATCAGGCTCTTCGCATCGTGCCTTCACGTTGAGGTCTTTGGGAGGACGCTCGCTCTTTGATTGAGCGTCGACGCCACGTATTCTGGTGTAGGTTATCCACTGTTCGAGCATTGAAGTGCTAAAGATAGAGCGCAAAGAGCACGGCCGCAGCTTCGTTGACACAGCATAGAGAGTCTCTCTGCGACACATTCATATTTTAAGAGTCAAGCCGTCGTGATGTGCTGCCTTAGAAACTTTCATGTGGCTAGGGCGTCTCGACTGACGAAGCGCCCCAAACCGTGAAATCTCTTAGCCTAAGAGTTTTCAAAAGGCCCCTCTGTTTGGTACTTGAGTTTTGTTGTCTTAAAGAGATGTCAGAATGAAAGCGCAAGTCACAAACCTCTCAGGCTTGCTGGACGTGTGCTCTAAGGGCAACAAAGACAGCAACTTGCCCGTCGCTCAGAGGATTGCAGTATGGGCTACAGGTGGCATGCCAATGCTCCCTTAAAGTCCGTAATTAGATAGTTATGTTGCAATCTCCCCAAACCCAGTACAATGACGGACTCCGTTACAGACTGGGCCCAGATGAACCCCAAGGACGCGTGGATAGTTCTGGAGTGCCCTCGTCTCCACTCGCCCCCCATGTTCCACAGGGCTCCCAAAGTTTGAGAGCCACTTTGCAGTTACGTAGATTGCTCGTGCAGCTGGCTGTAAGGTGCTATGAGGGGCTCTAAGTCACTACGACCTCTCTTCTGAATCCTGCCAAGGCTAATTAATGTTCAGAGTGCGTTGACTGCGAAAGCAGATCCCAACGCCGGTCGGGGCCCCAACAAAAGGATCTGCTCGGGAGCAAGGTTGAAGGTTGAATGGATGTATGCCAGAAGATGCGGAAGGTGTTACATCTAGGCGTGGCATACTGTGCGTGGGTCTGTCTATCCCAATTTGCAATGCGTTTATGTATGTTTATGTCTTTCTTTATCTCCCTGTGCCTTTCCCTGACTCGCTCGCTCTGTCAGCTTTTATCTCTTTTGCTTTCTCTGTCTCATTTTCTCAATCCCTCCACATCTGGCACGTAGAGCCAAAGCGCATAGAGTCCATAGAGAGCGCCCACGCACAAGCACGCATGCGCGCACACACGCACACAAACACACGCAGCGACATTGTCGGAGCACATGCGTACTCCCAGAATTTGCTGCCCAAGCGTCTGATGCGTACTCCTACCACTGCCTACTGCGACCATTACGACCACTACGACTACGACTACTGTCACTACTCCTGCGACGCTTTAACCTCCAGTTTCACCATATCGCGCGTCGATTTCTTCGCCACGTGGAGCCGAGAGCCGAGGGCTGGCGAGCCCCAGCTTCAACGATTATACGCCGCTGATCTTCCTCTCCATGTCGGCTCCCGGGTCGAACATGTCACAGGCACATCTTTCAGGGCTTGCATAGGGCTTGCAGGTTTGAAAGGGTGTCGGGAGTATATGCAGTGTTGAAGGGCGTTCAGGGCTTGAAGGTTGCGGGGTTTAGGTTCAGGAGTGTTTTTCGGATGGTAAGAATACCCAACGTGCTGACCAAGGCAGAGCAAGGCCAACATCCAGAATCACAAGGATACCAACAAGCTGGCATTTTTAGTTGCTAGTAACTAGTAGTGATGCCAATGGCCTCTGAAGGCATCCTTGTCATCGTGAGAATCATCATCACCGTCATCACCATCATCATCAGTGTCACCGTCATCACCATCATCATCAGTGGCCTCACCCCTCATCAACATCAAACTAGTTGTAATGTTCTTGTGAGTTACAGATCTTCTTCAGGGATAGGTGCCGAATTTGCAGATGCCCTGGATGCAATCCCGAGAAATGCAAGTCTTGTAGGTCCAGCAGATCGTGTTCTTAGGGGCCGATACTCATCAGAAGCTTTTGACGTGAGCAACATGCAGCTCTAGCGTTACGTTCATCGAGAACTCCAAGACGTTGGAAAATCGATTGGAGATGCTTTGCACCCTCCTTTCCTATACTTGTCAAGGACGTTGGGATAGGCCTGTTCTGGGGCGTGCAGTTGACGTTTGAAATGCTGCCAAAATGTGCCGAGCCATGCTCCCGAAATGCCCGAGGCTCGAACCAAAGCCCTGAGCTTCTCAGCCCAACCAGGGATTGCAAAACATAATAGTGAATCCATATCCCACTAAACGAACACACAATGTCCAAGTGCCGTCTGTATTGTGATGGAATGTGAAGAGACCCTGAGACTTTACGAGAAGCCGCAGCCCGTGCAGCCGCAAACTCCGGAATCTCCAAGGCCCAAACCTCCGCAAACTTTAGCACCCTAAACCCCCAAACCCTAATCAGGCGAAGGAAAAGAGGTGAGAAAAAAAAAATACACCCCCAAACTCGATGGTGGTCTGTTGAAGGACAGCTCTGACAGCTCTGCTGTGTTTTCACACAGCCCCAACCCCTTACATCCTAAACGGTCCTAAACCCCTGAACCCCAAAGCCTCAAACCCCAGACCCTTATTGTAGAAGCCCCAATTCCAGTCTATGGTACAATATGCACCAGAGTCTTGTTCTAATTACTAAGGCCTCTAATTCTATTCTATTCTATTCTATTCT